ATATATTTAAAATGTCTCAGCTAGAGGCTCCACTTAGAAGCAATCTGCTGTGTGCAAGTGGCTTAAATATGATCACACAGCACCTTATTTCTTGTCACTTTGCCATCTCACACCATGTGCTGTATTGTACCAGAATATTTAAGCACCTCCCTGCCAGCTTGTCAGGATGTCTGAATTCTGGTTTACTAGGACAAGAGCTGACAATGGAGCCATGGCTGGGACATATAGTTGTATGTTAAAGTTTGGGTATCCCTACTCCCAGACTGTATTGGTTCTCTAAGTAAACAATAAGCACAACCTCTGCTGGGAATTCACTTCAGGCCAATCTACGTGCAGAAATAGAATTCAGCCTATTACCCCCATTCACTAATTTTGATTTTTAAAGAAAGGCAATCCAAAGCTCTTTTTGTACCACTGTCATGTGGCTTTCCCCATCAGCTTCTCCACTAGTGGAGACCAGTGGTCCAGAGCTGTAGTCTGGGCCCAATGATGAGGAGTCTTGATGACTCCTACATCATGAAATCTCTGATGCAATAATCAGGACCTGTAATGACCCCACCAATAATTAGTCAATGGGAAGTGCCCACATAAGCAAGCAGTGACGTGGCCATCTAATGACTCTATAATAAGGAAAAGAAAGGATGCAGGACACACAGCATTTCACATGACCATGAAATTAGGTAAATATGCTTGGCATTTAGACTCATTTTTAAAAATATAATTGGGGGATTGGAGGGGGGTAATGTTTAGTCAGGGAGGCTGGCCAGAGAAGAACTTTAAATATGATATACAGTATGCTAATGCTTAACAGGCTGTAAAATAAACAACAAATAAAGCTTAAAATATAACCTGTGCGCATGTTTGGGCACCATGTCAGTCAACTCTTGGCAACACCTCTTTTGCTAAAATCCTATCCTTTAACAGTTTCTTGTAGCAGTCTTCTCACTAAGCAGCGTAAGTTATTTTATCTGAGTCTGATGTTTAATCTAACAATTTTCTCCTCAAAGTCTTCAAATAATGTACCTAGATATTGCACAGTTGTTCAATCATCATTCTCCTGCATGCAATAATTTCATAACTAACAATTTCCATGAATTTGTATTGTTTTCTCATATAATGGTATCTATTTCCTAGACAGTAAGCCTTGAATGACTCCATTTTCTCAACTCCTGACAGACACTCAAAGGAACCTAAAAGTGAACATCCACTAGAGGGGAGCAAAATTAAAATGGAGGAATAATATATGAAAAGTCATGCAGTCATTTTCCTTCATGGGCCTTTATATGTACAGCATATCTATATGTGTGTGTGTATATAGACTGTATATATATTATTTACTACAGGTATTTATATAGCACCGAAAATGTATACAGTTCTTTACATCTATCTTACATTCATATGAGGGCAAAATTAGACAGGAGTAAATTAACCTACCAGCATGTATTTGGAGTGTGGTAGGAAACCAACGAAAGCAGAGGGAGAACACGCAAACTCCTTGCAGACAGCGACCTGGCGGGGATTTCAACCAGGGACCCCCAGTACCACTACGCCACTGTGCTGCCTGTACAAGCAAAATATTTTTCTTCTTTGCACAGTGAAGTTTCACCACATTTACTAAGCTAAGGGAAAATTACCTTGTAATGTGAAGTATCTATTTGCCTTTAGTAAATTAACTTCAACATCACTTTAAATCAATTTTTTTGTAGAGATAACAACTTTTCCATAAAAACAAAAAGTAATCAACAAACTGAACTGTTAACTGAACATTAACTGAGATGCCCAAACATTCAGCTATAGCTATAAGTGTGTTTCTAAAGAGTTTACAATAGAGATTCAAGGCCAGGCACATGCATACACGATAGAGAGTTGTCAACAAAAAACAGAAATATACAACGTTAAAGTGACTGAGACCTGCCGGAGTCAGTACAGTATAGAAGGCTCAAGGAATCTGACTGGGTTTCTGGATAGAGGAGCTCATGCTGAGTGCAGTCGTATTATAGGATGATTTTTAAAGGCATGCACATTCATGCAGGTTTACAGTTTGTGTATGTTATTAACCCCTTCATGACTGAGGCCCTTTTTTCCATTTTTATGGGTCCTCAAGCTTCTCTATGCAATGTAGGCAGGCCATGGCTCTTAGGAAGAACCAGCAGGGCACTGTACATAGCTTCCAGAAAACGGGAAACTGCCTTATTCTATAAAAAAGTTTTAGCTTTACTTGCACTACTTCAAATATCTATTTTGCACATCAAGCTCATTAAAGGATGACATTTTCTGTTAAAATAAAGTCTTCTGATTCTTCTTGTTAAACTGCTGGCAATCATTCACCTTCTTGATGATAATTAGCAATTGGCCAGCAGTCTGGTTCTCTAATTAACTGTTGGCCATGACACCTTGTAAATGTACAGGGCGGTCAGTAACCCTCGAAAGATATGAAAGCCCTCTTATTTTCCAAGAGATGAACTCTGGCTCAATGTCAAGCCACTTAGGCAAAAACTGAGCATGATTATATTACTCAAGCAATAGTTTAAGTGAGATTAATTGAAGTGAAGAATAACCCCTGAAGCAGTAGAGAATAAATTAAAGGCAGAAACTGATCTACATGTCAATCACTATGAATTCAATTGAGACCAATTTCACTTTTATCAAATGGTTTTGGCATTCTGACTAAGAACAAGACTTCAAAGTAAAGAGATCGAAGTTTAAATACTTTGCTTTAGATTTTAAATCATTGTGAAGTATCCGAATGTAAAAAGGTGTTCATCAATAGGCTAATGCTGTGGCATGTTTTGTGGGATATGGGTGGGCCTCAGAGACCATTGTTAGTGCTGCAAAATATCAGACCACTTGAAAAGTTGTATGCAACATTCTCCTTTTCTCTGCTGATGAAGTCAAGATGAATAAAAGTAACATGGAATGTCTCAATAATTCATCCTAGCCTGTAAAGGGAACATCACCATACTTGCACAGAATACTGTATGTGCGTTCAAATCAATAAAGAGGATCATCTAAGTATCTGAATTATTTCCAAGCTTTAGGCTGCTATAAATGGAGAATTTATAAGTTTCCAAAAATTAAACAGATTCTGTTACTTTTAAATTAAACAGCCTTAAACTCCCCTTTGCCCCTCTGTAAATGCCCATTTTTTCTAGATATAGGGAAAGATGTGGCCCCTTCCATGCATTTCAGTGCTCGAGCTTAAGCAACCAATCAAGCAGCCTTAACACTGTCACATGAGGGAGTTAAGGACATTATCAACCTGTGTAAGATTTGTTTAAGAACTTACTTTACCGTGAATGGCCAAAGTGCCAGAGTCTGCATAAAAGGTCATCCTTTTTAGGAGATCCCTCTTCACCCAGCATGAAAATCCATTATTTATTGTCTGATGATAATGCAATTATGTCTTATAGGCAGGGTAGCACCACCTTTGGTTATACCTGTGTATTTATCTGAAAAAAACATATGCTGGTATTATGGTACATTTTCCAACCTGTCAGATCTTCTTTGAGCATTATGTTCTCTGCAGCACCAGTTTCTTCTAAATGTTGTGTGAGAGTGTTGCATCTTATATATATATAGATAGATAGATAGATAGATAGATAGATAGATAGATAGATAGATAGATAGATAAGATGCAACACTCTCACACCACATTTAGAAGAAACTGGTGCATAGATATAGATAGATAGATATATCTATCTATATATATACAATGTCAACTATCAGCATGAGTTTTCTGATTAGATGACCAAATCATTTTTACGATATCAGCTATTCCCTGACAAACCTTTTTAAAGTATCCCTAAAACCCAAATTTTTTTAAAATCTTGGATAGAGTAGGGACAGAAGGGCTGAAACTCCTGTCTGTTTTTGTGCCCTATTGGGAAAATTTCCCTTCACTTCCTATTCCGTAGACACAAGAGATAGTCAAAGCAATTCTCTTCAAAGTTAGGGAAATGTCTTCTCAGACTGTGACCAAAACACGTGTCCCTATTGGAATTGCTTCCCCTATTACTGCTATTATGGTAACAATTCAAAATTTTGGATCCTCTCATCACTTTGAGTCCAGTTTTTGTGACAGCAATAGAAACCTGACAAAGGTTCTAGTTCATCACTACTCTAACCAAAACTAAAAAAAATATTTTGGCTTTAGATGTACTTTAAAAGAAGAACTCCAGGAAAACTTTTTCTAAACCCTTGCAGTGGGGCTACCCCCACACTGCAAAGGTTCAGTGCTCGTTTTTGTTTAGGTGCTAAAATAGCAAAGTTATACTCACTCAAACCTCTGAGCCAGCCAGCTGTCACAGCACTCCCTCCAGCCTGTCTCCTCCTCCACTGCAGCATTTGAATCTTCCTCAGTGTCTTCAAGTCTATACACTGAGTATAGACGTGATGATTTACGGGACCTTAGACTACTGCAGAGGAGGGGAAGAGACACTCCAGGGATTCGTCTGGGAACAAGCCAGCTCAGAGCATCGGGAGAGTATAACCCTTTTTTTTTAACCCAGACAAAAATGAACAGTTAACCCTTGCAGTGCAGGTGCAGCCCCACTGCAAAGCTTAATAACATTTTTTCCTGGAGTTCTTCTTTAGGATAACTATAGGTTTTAGATGGCTATTATACAAGAGCTTTTGGTTTTGTTAGGTTTATACTACTGTTGCCTCACTATGGGACAAAACAAATGGCCTTAGTTATTTGTCAAAAGGAACAAACTAAACTCGAATGGGAGTTTTCAAAAGATCATGCATTGTTCTATTGTTAGGGATGAGAATGATTGGCACAATTGTTACAGTGGTGTACAAGGACAGAACAACTACAATTGTTAACAACCAAAGCCCAAAAATAACCATAGTGCTCTAAAATCTTGGTTTCTTGGAGCCAATTATGGCCACCTCTACCACTGAACATCACACATCATAATTATCCTTATGTTCTTTAGTATGCCATTATCACTCTATGTAAAATTAATTCTAATATGTTCTTTTTTCTCTCTCAACAGATGGTACTGGATAGCATTTCCTACTCTTTAATCTTCATTTCTAATACTGCCAAATACACATGAGCTTACTAAGGGTCAGCTTTTGCAACTGACTTGTCCACCTCTCTCTACATGGCCGTATATTTGGTTGCCGTGCTGCTCCTACTGACTCCGTGTCAGCCAGTTCCTCTTGACTTCCCACCTCTTTCAAACTCTTCCCTATCCCTTGAAGAACTCAGCAATACTACCGAACATTACTCCACCCAACCTCCAGGTACCATCCGCCGGACACCTCAGACAATCATTGTTGGCGTTCGGAAAGGTGGGACCAGGGCTTTGCTGGAAATGTTGGACATTCACCCAAACATTGTAGTAGCTGCTACTGAAGTACATTTCTTTGACTGGGATGAAAACTATGTGAAGGGGATTGAATGGTACAGGAACCTTATGCCTTTCTCATTTGAAAATCAAATTACTATCGAGAAGACGCCAGGTTATTTTACATCACCACTGGCTCCTGAAAGGATTCATAGCATGAACAGCTCAATTAAGCTGCTTCTAATTCTTAGAGACCCTACAGAGAGGGTCATATCGGATTACACCCAAGTTTATTACAACAGGCTGGAAAATCACAAGCCAGTGCAGCCTTTTGAGGGAATTGTGATTAAAAACGGTGCACTTAATACCAAATATAAGGCAATCCAAAGGAGCTTGTATGATATACACATGGAGAGATGGCTGAAACACTTCAGTTTAAACCAGATCCATATAGTGGATGGAAATACTTTAATTAAAACACCTCTTACAGAACTGCAGAAGGTGGAGAGGTTCCTGAACCTCCCACCTAGAATAGTCTCTTCAAACTTTTATTTTAACCAGACCAAGGGGTTCTACTGCATCAGAAGTGATGGTCGAGAAAGGTGTTTGCATGAGTCTAAAGGGCGCCCCCATCCTATAGTAAATGAAACCGTCTTGGAGCAACTTTACACTTATTTCAGAGAACATAATCAAAGGTTCTACACAATGGTTAATCAAACGTTTGACTGGCACTAGCAACAATACCCATCTTACAAAGTAATCTGTAGAAAATGCCAAGCTGTGAATTAAACCAATGAGACACTGTAAAAAAATGAAAATGAAAAGAATGGGGGGAAAAAATTCAACTGAATTCTTTTACTAAATGGCCATTATGTAAAACAAGAAAAACAAAAATACAAATAGGAACATATTTGTTTACAAATAGGAAAACATGGAGTCCAAAACATTTCCGTTCACTATTGTAAATACTGATATGCAATGCTTTATTCTGATTTGTCTTATTATTTTTTCCAATTTATATACGTATGTAGACACTTATAGAAAGATTGTGCAGTAGAAATTGTTTAAAAATATTTGATATTGAACTCTTCTTTGCTATGGTAACAAAAGAGCCTAAAAAAAATTTCTTATGTTAAAAATGTGTGTAAATGGAAAAATGATTTTGTATTACTGCTAAGCTATATGTTATTGTCTTCAATTAAAAACTTATTTACTGTTCTTAGTACAGGTATTCGGGGATAGTAATAAAATGTGACACTCTTTTGTATGGTAATTTAAAATAGCAAAGATTTGATTTGCTCAGCCTGCAAATTTACCTATGATGACCACAATAATTTTTTCTTGTTTTTTACTCTTGTTTTCTTAATTTTCTTAGTTTGCCTTATAATTTCATCGTTATTGCTTTTTATTTGTTTCCTTTTTCCATCTTTAAATTTTTCCCTTGTTTCCTTTGTTTTGTGAGAGTGTGAGAAGTGTGAGACTACTGCATGGCCCTCTAAAAGTCACATAATAATTTTGATTATATGTTGTAACACGCTTTTGCGCAAACCATTTTTTCTCTCCCTGTAACCACTTCTAATGTGACTTGCACCTTGTTAAATTAGCACTTTGTTCTCTGAATCCAAACCTTAAAAAAAACATTAAGATTATAACTGGGACCTAAACGATTTGTACAACTGTATATTGGAAGATTCTGCATCCATATGCAATAATGAAATTTTACAGACTGTATAACTTCCTCTTTAGTTGAATACAAATTGATATTTCTTAAAAGTGGTCTGTGTCCTTCCTCTGTGTATGCCACACTTATACTCTCTTAACTGGGTTTTATCAGCACTATGAGTAATGGTTTTAATAGGAGTGACATAGATAATTAGCATAAACCACAGCACTGAATAGAACCGTTCTTGAAATCTGTTCATTTCAGCCTCTTTGCTGATGTTGATGTAGGACTTTAACCTTATAATACAGTATATATCTGCCTCTCATTGTCTTTCCGCTGCATTCACTATTATTGTTCTAGCATCAAGAAAGATCCATAAAGAGAGCCAGTAATGGTTGTGCAGAATTAATAAAACATAATGTCATTATATATAAAGGGATTGATTAAATATTTAAACAAAGGCAATGAATATAATGGGTCTAAATGAAATCTATATTTCTTTCTGCCTTTTAAGCCACACAATACGGGGGAAAGCTTATCAAGGCTGGCACAGTGTGAATCAGGTACTGATTCAGTACATTTGACTCTTTAAAAAGGAACCTGCTAAGCATTATTTGCTTGCACACTAGCCGTGTACCATAACCCCAATGTAGTTTCAGAAAAGCAACAAACCTTTGTGTGAAAGACACCTGCTGTTTTATGGGGACACCAAGAGGTTGATTTACTAAAGGTAAATAGGCCGTTAGCATTGTAAGGGAATTTGCACTGTGCAGGGGAAGTTTCCCTTAGGTTTCCCTTAGCTTGGTGAATGTAGTGACATTTCACTTTGCAAAGAATACCCAATTATGTGCAAGGAAAAAAAATAGTTTTGCTTGCACATGATTTGGTGACATGGAAGTCAGCAGAGCTTCCTCACATCTACTAAACTAAGGATAAACTTCCGTTGCAAGGTGAACAACCTATTTGCCTTTAGTAAATCAACCCCCTTGTGTGTTATAGTCATACACTTGAGAGAACTTTTGTTAAAACTGGGATTTATTTGTGTCCACTACTCCTTAACATCCAGTAGATATACAATTCCAGTCCTTGAAAAACTCTACTCCCATGATACAATAATAACTTCTCCTGTTCTATGTTGTGGGGTCATGCATTCTTTGGGGTTGATTAACGAAGGATAAATATGCTGTTCACTTTGCAAGGGAATTTGCATTTAGCAGGGGAAGTTTGCTCTTAGTTTAGTGAATGAGGGAAAGCTCAACTAACTTCCAACACTCAATCATGTTCAAGAAAATATACTGTTTTGTTTTACATTTTTCTTGCACATGATTGGGTATTCTTTACAAAGTGAAGTTTCACCACCATTACTAAGGTAAGGGAAACTTCCCTGCAAAGTGCAAATTCCCTCGAAAAGTGAACAACCTATTTGCCTTTTGTAAATCAACCCCATTGAGCGGAGAGATGAAGGCAAAACCTCTTTTAAGTTACAATAAACTCAGGAATTAAACCATAAAAAAACATTCAAGTACATTAACTATTACCAAAAATGCATCCTATTTGTGTATCACTCGGCTGTAGATCCTCAAATCATCTCTGAATTGGTACTGACACTGTCCTTGCTTCTGGAGGGTGACTACTTTAGTTCCCCATGGTCTCTGTATTGTAAAGTAGCCATTGTTCCAAGCTCTCACCCATGATGGACTACAATCTCATGTTTAGTTTACTAATTTGTATTGAAGTTATAGTCCATCACAGGAGTGAGCTTGGAGCGGTGACTACTTTACAACACACAGGGACCATGAGGAACAAAAGTAGCACCCCTCCAGTAGGAAGGATTCAAATTCAGAAATGATTTGAGGATCCACAGCTGAATAATGCACAGATAACATATAAGGCGCTTGAATGCACTTTTAAGGTTTAACTCCTGAGTTTTGTGTTACTTTAGGGCTGGAAATGGGCTGCATATAAGCAGCAAGGGGGATTCAGCATCTTAAAAAAAACTAATCTGAATAGAAACATGAAAGCTGTTTTAGTTAACTTGGTTTTGAAGGTGGACATTTGGGGCTGTCATCCTTTGCTTTACTTTCGTATTTAATTGTTGACTTAGAACAAGTGTGCAGTTTTAGGTCTCCTAACACTTCACTGGCTACATGCCTATTTCAGGTCAGCACCTCCCTAAATAATAAATCAAAGATAAGGATGGCAGGCCAAGCAATTGTGCCTTTAAAAAGAAGTCTATAAGCTGCCATATTTCTGTCCTTTGTCTTTTTTGTGTTATAAGAGATTTTTTCTTTATACACATGTAGTTTTCCAGTATTGGTTTGATTCTGAATGGTTGTATTGGGACAATATTGTATATTAGTCCTTGTTTCACACAATCTATTAAATGAGCTCTCTCTCCCAACATTTTTTACAGGGCCCCCACTTTCACAAAATATATAATTTTGGAGACTTTTACGTAATCTTCAGACCTAAAATGTGCATTTTAACATGTGCGCAAACGATGGCAAACACCTCTGGCAATAAAAGGGGTCAACTCTAGTACACTTATCAGGTAACCTATAGGATTTTTTCTGCATAGACACATCTATGGAAATTGAATAAACTGCCTTAAAACATGAGCTATTGGGGTGCTTGAGGAGTATAGTTAAATTTGCTGACCTCTAGTAGCGGTGGTGAGCTCTGGTCCTCAAGACCTACCATTGAGTATGGGGCACAACAGGATACTAAAAATCCATGAAGAAAATGTATCATCATATACATCATATACTACCCCAGTGTGACATCACTGCCCTTATATAGAAGTACTATACCACTTTATTATACTAGTTTCTAATAATGCAGAATTCATATTCCTAAGAAGACCATGCACATTCCAGGGTGAGGAGCCTAACACTTTAACTCCCTGCATTATTAAAAATGTAATCCCTATTGCATTACATAAGGTGCCCTCTGGTCACCTAGGGGTAAGGACTGCATACTTCAGGTGTGTTTGAGACGTGGGGGGAGGCTACTCTGCTAGTGCTTGAAACTGAAATGGTTAGTGGTGCTTTGGACCATTTTGCCAGTGAATGAATTGGGCTTGGCAGGGAAGCAAACTGCCCATTCCCAGGCTTGGAACAAACTGGCTGGATTTCCTATGAGTTCTGACTTGCACTAATCAATTCACTAATCCCTACTCACAGTAACAACATTGTAGGCATATAGATTGATTGATATAGATATAATTCACATTGATGGTGCACTGCCATTGTGTCTTTTAGTTGCATGATACCAGAGCTTATGTGGACCTGTTTGTTATACCTATGTCCATACACCTTGCTGCACTGCTGACCGGATATCCAAAAACAAACGAGTGCTTGAAATGACCGTGGAGGGCGCCGCTCAGAATACAGATAAAAACATAGATGTCACGACAACTGTCATGATGACAACTATCATTAAAATGAATTTGCACTGACGTGGAATTTACGTGCTGGTGTTCTGATGACATCTATGTTTATATATGTTTGTTGTACCTGACAGGTAAGTTTATGTGGAATTTCTTTTTCCTGTCTACTGTTCCTAATGTCTGCAAAGCAACAACATAGACAAACATTTTGAGTTTAGGTCTGCTTCATGGTGCCTCTGGGCATCAGAGGACAACAGGTTCATATCTGTAGTTTCCAATTATTAGGAAGCCATCTGGTGCTCTGTAAGACACCTGAATCTACAGCAGACATCCTTGGATCACCACAGTCAGAGGTATTCTGCTACACAGTAAGCTATGTTGGAAATCATAATCCAATATCCTATTGTTCTGTGCAGTCTACACAGAGATGAATATAATCTCTGCAGGTTGTATTATGTATGCTGCTGAATTTTGTTAGGAGTTGCTAGCTCCCTGGCTGCTGTGAATCAGCGTGTGCAGATAACACCTTCAACCTACATACTTCTTATTCACTGGCTTACTAGTGAACTTGGAGGCTGAACATCGCAATTTCTGAAGCCAACATGTTCTAAAAGAAACCGTTTCATACAAATTCCTGCACTAAGGCACTGGACACTCAGGGCTCACACCATTGCGCTGCATTAGCTCACATGCTATTGCCGCATGTTAACGTCCATTGCATTAAGGCATTACGGCCCATACATTTTAAGGC